TTACTGTGCACATTTCTTCCTTTTTATGTTGTTGACTTTTAAGTTGTGTGTGTGTGTGTGTGTGTGTGTGTGTGTGTGGGGGGGGTGTTTCCATGGGAATAAAGTGAGATTCTAGGTAACCAGCCAATGCCAACCACGATTTTGAATTGTGATCTGCCTTAATTAAAAAAAAAAAAAAAAATCCAGAACCCTATAAATTTCACGGGCTCTAGTTACTCTTTTTCAGGAAAATGATAGGGCTGAGTATGAAGAAATTGTTTCCCAAAGTCATCTATCGCAACCAAACATCAAACGGAAAGTTCCTAAGGGCCCCAGGTCTGCAGAAGAGGAGTCTGTTTCAGAAGTGAATGTCTCTCAATTAGTCAAACCAAAACCCAGAGTCCTAGTAAGTATGATTTCAATCTGAAGTACATCAAGAACAAATTTCACTAGTTTGTCTGGGGAACAACAGAAGTCGGATACTATAAGGGTTCCAAACAGTGTTGTACATATGAGATTTAAATAATTTTTAGACATACCAATACCAGTAAGGGGGGAGAAATTTGGCAGTTTTTTCCCCCAAATGTCATTCCATCTCAAGCCCACCAATTTTGCTTTACATGTATTATCTGTAGACTTACAGCTGTGGAATAATGTGTACATGTACACTCTGCAAACAGAATTAAGCAAATGTATCTTAATTATTTCTTTCAGGTTGGACAAAGTAATATTCATCATGATGGAAATGTTGTATGCGATTAACAGCTCCATCAGCCAGCTGGTATGGACGCTACAGATAAAATAAAGATCCATAATGATGGAAATGTTGAATGCGATGAACAGCTCCATCAGCCAGCTGGTATTGACGCTCCAGATAAAATAAAGATCCATAATGATGGAAATGTTGAATGCGATGAACAGCTCCATCAGCCAGCTGGTATGGACGCTACAGATAAAATAAAGATCCATAATGATGGAAATGTTGCAAAGTGTGATGAGATTCCAGCTGGAACTGACGCTAAGGATACTCTTGTTTCCAGTGAAACAATGCATGTCAGTTCATTTCTTATTAAAACATAGCATAGTTTCCCAAGGAGATTATGGTGCCAATACTTGTTATTTTCTGATGTCATTTTTTATGGATGACTTGGATTATAAAGTGTTTTCGCTGCTGAAATGCAATGTCAGTTGAATTTACCTCCTTGATGATGTGTTTTCACATTGTGTCTTATTTTCTTTCATTTCATTTTCTTTCAAGCGTGAAGTCTGTCAATAAAAAACGTAACAAGTTGATTCAACTTCAAGGCTTAATATACACTTGCATGCCTGATATCGTTGCCCTCACAGAAACTTGGTTGAACGACTCTGTCGAGTCAAATGAAATTCTTCCTGAGGGTTACACCCCGTATCACGGAGATAGAGGTGGCAAACAAGGCGGTGGAGTTTTTCTTGGTATTCGTAATAATATTATCTCCCGCCGTCGACCTGATTTGGAACCCAGTATTTGTGAGGTTATAATTTGCGAACTTGTGCCTAGTATCATTGAAAGTATGCATTATTTTGTGCTACAGACCTCCAGACAGTGATCCTATATCTTTTTATGATTTTTTGTCTAACCTTTTTACTAAATGCAGTATTGAGTGCAAAATTATATTCGCACTTGGAGATTTTAATCTCCCAGATATACCCTGGTGGGACGAATCGGCGAACACTGGACACACGCTGTGTGACTTGGCTGACAGCTTTTCCCTTACCCAGATCATTGACCAACCTATTCATATTAAGGGAAATGTGCTGGATTTAGTTTTCACCAATATCCCTGAACGCTGCTCCGAGCCCAATGTAACATTTGTTCAGTTTGACAGTGATCATGCTGTGATCAAGTTCAATTTCCAAACTCATGTCAACAGACTACGCACATGCGCGAGAAACGTGTACAATTTTAAAAGAGCTGACTTTATTGGGCTACGATGTCACATGGGCAAAGTGTCATTTCACTCTGCTCTTCTCCATCCTGATATTAATGTTAACTGGCAAAGTTGGCTTATCTCGTGCATTCATCTGTCAGTAAATTTATTCCCATTGCTGTAATTAAGGATGTAAATTCTCCTGCCTGGGTTGACAGTGAAGTGTGCCACCTGAGCAACAAAGTACAATCCACACGGAAACGAGCTAAAAACGCAATAATACTGTAGCGTTAGGGCGAAATTTCGTAAACTAAGGAATAAATTAAAAAATGTATGTACTTTCAAGTACAATCAGTATTTGGATGTTCTCAGTGATTCTCTTGCCAAAACACCAAAGCGTTTCTGGGGATTCTTCAAGAGTAAAACAAAGACAAAAAGTGTCCCCACTTTTGTTGCTTATGGAGATGAAACTGCCTCTGATCCTAGCACAAAGGCTAGTCTGTTCAACGAGTGTTTTCAATCCCTATTTACCCCTCAGCCTCTAGAACGAACATATCGGGATATAACCGTTTTTAAACATGCTCATTTGGGTGATTTAAGGATTACTGTCCATGATGTTGAATCAGTTTTGATTAACCTTGATACAAATAAAGCATGTGGGCCTGACGAGTTACCGGCTCGGATTTAAAAAAAATGTGCTCATGAATTAGCTCTGTCGCTTTGTAGTCTTTTTAACAAATCTCTTCAAACTGGAGAATTACCACTTGATTGACTAAGAGCAAATGTTATTCCAGTCCATAAAAAATCCGACAAAGAAAATGTGAGTAATTATCGACTGGTATCGTTATTATGCATTTGTAGCAAGGTGCTGGAAAGGAGTATACTTAATTTTGTCTATCCTCATGTAATGCCTGTTTTGCATCACCTACAACATGGTTTTGTTAAGGGTAGGTCGACAACCACTCAGTTAATCCAGGTATTTCACGAAGTTGGTAAATTCTTAGATCAGTCTGGACAAATCGATATTTTATATTTAGACTTTTCATCTGCTTTCGATTCCGTCCCCCTTACTATTACATAAACTCCAGACATATGGATTTCATGGCAATCTTTTAAAGTGGTTTACGTCGTATTTATCCAATCGTAAACAAAGAGTTGCTGTCGATGGTGCCCTATCATCCTGGTCTCCCGTTAAATCAGGAGTTTCACAAGGATCAATTTTAGGTCCTTTGATGTTTCTGCTGCATATTAATGACATACCAGACTGTGTAAGTCCTGAGACTAGGGTTGCCTTGTTTGCAGATGATTCTAAATGCATAAGAGAAATCAGAAACACGCAAGACTGTTCACAGCTGCAGTGCGATCTAGAAAACATCTTGGATTGGAGCCGTAAATGGGACATGAGATTTAACACTGGTAAATGTAAACTATTGAGCGTTTCAAGGAAGCGAATTCCCATTCTTCATCATTACACAATGAACGGTAATTTAATTGAAAAAGTCGACTGCATGCGTGACCTTGGGATTGTGGTGTCATCAAATTTATCATGGGATGCACATGCAAATGTCTTAGTCAGTAAAGCAAATCGCATGCTTGGATTAATTCAAAGAACTTGCGGTCATACGTGTTCAGTTCAAACTAATCGAAAACTGTATATTTCGCTTATAAGACCACTTTTAGAATACTCCACCCAACCTTGGGCTGTTTCATCAAAAAAATCTCTCCTTCATATTGAAGGTGTGCAACGGAGAGCCACTAAGTACATTCTTGGTTATAATGATTGTGTTGGAAGCAATTACAAAGCCCAATTAATGAAGCTTGATCTTTTACCACTGGGCGACAGACGTGATATATTTGATTATGTATTCTTGTGCAAATGCTTGAAGGGGGAATATGATATCAACTATAACCATTTTGTTTCATTTCAAAATGAGGATACATTTTTAATGAAAATTCCAAAATTTAGGACTGAAACTTTTCGCCATTCTTATTTTAACAGGTTATTTTATTTGTGGAACACCAGTCACCTCTATCAAATTTTTGATACTACAGCTGCTTTTAAATTGAAGCTATTTCATTTTTAGATAGAAAAGTTTAATAACTATTTTTCTTCGGATGATTCCTGTACGTGGGTTGGCAAATGTCATTGTTCACGTTGTCGTCTGTCCCTCTGATGTTACTTACACTTGCTAGTATACTGTCTTATTGTATTATTACTTTTTTTTTCTTTGTTCAATTGTCTGTACATGTCGCGGGATGATCGCCTCACAATAGGTGCCTTGCCACCTGTGCGATCACTTCCTGACTTCTGTCAAAGCTTAATAAATAAAATAAAATTTTGACTTAAAAATTTATCTGAAATAAACCGTGTCTTTAAGACTGGTAAAATGACCAAAACCAAAAATAACCCAACAGATGGATGACCTCAACATGGTTAAAGTTCATGATATGAATCTTATTGAGTAATCTTTTATTTCAGGATCACACCACTGCCCCATCATCATGTTCTAAGTATGTTTGTCCGTACTGCAAACTTCAACTTGCTAGCCATCAGTCATTGCACCATCACAAGAAAATCAAGCATGCAAATGAGAAAAAGGAAGCAAGTATAAGAACCACAATCCAGTGCTATAAGTGCAAGACATTTTGGTGAGTGCATGACTGGATTTGTTTATATACAAGATCCACGCACTCGACATGCTTGGGAACGTGCCAGCACCATGTTTCTGTCAGTCTGCTGCTGCTGTCTCTCCCTCTGCCTGGCCACACCCCTTCCACTGCTGGTCACACCCCTTCCACAGCTATTGTTCTCAGCTGAGTCTCGTTACCCAGCCAGTATAAAAGCAGCTCTGTTTCACTAACTCATTGCCAGATTGTCGTTGCAGCATGCACTACTCTCCAGCATTTACCCTCGGTCTGACTTCCTGGCATCGACTCTGCCTGCCTCTGACTACGTCCTTTCGTTCCTGCCCCAGTAAACCTGATTGCCTTCTGCCTGTGTACTTCCTGGTTCCTGTCTGCCGTCTTCCAAGCACCTGTCCAAGCCACCCGTCCTCCCACCCCACTGCCTGTCTGTGTGGATACGACTCAGCCAACCAAGCCTCAAGCCAGCCTGCTCTGGTGGCCCAGTGGTAACACTCCCGCCTGCAGTGTGGGCAACCTGGGTTCGAATTCCGTCATCAGCGCCCACTTCCTCGGGTACCCAGAAAAGCTCCACTCAACATCCATCCTGATCTACAGCAGGCTACCTTGTGTTTTCTGTTTGCCCCTGCTCCTAAATCATTAAAAACCAGGAAAGAGTCATTCACGCTGATTGTGCTGCTTTTGGGTCCTGCCACTCCCGGTGTCCTTACAATCTGGCCAGGCGTGGACCCAGCACGCAATCCGCCTCCCCTGAGCCAACTGGAAAAGATTGAAGCCGTCCTCCAGCACCATGAGGCCATGATGTCAGCCGCCGCCTCCGACACCAGGCAATCCTTTGCGGCATTAACCGACCAACTGCTGCAGCTGACGTCTATGGTGGCTCAGCCCACTGCCCCTCCTGCACCTGTATCAGCTCCTGACCCTGTGCTACCCATGGGGGCTCCAGAACTTCAAGTAGGAACCCCTGAGCGTTACGACAGAGACCCAGAGACCTGCGGCCCCTTCCTGACAAACTGCTCCCTGCTGTTCTCCCTCCAGCCCTGTACCTTCACTTTCGAGCAGGTAATGGTGGCTTTCACTATCAACCACCTGACGGTCCAGGACCATTTGTGGGGCACCGCTGAGCGGGAAAGACAGTCCCCAGCCTGCGTCTCGTTCCAGTCCTTCGCAGGGGAGTCACGTAAGGTCTTCGGTCTGGGGGTCTGCAGCTCCGAGGCCGCTCAGGGACTACTAACTCTGAAACAAGGGAACAGGACGGTTGCTGACTACTCCATCGATTTCAGCACCAGAGCCAGTCGGAGCCGCTGGAACCCTGCAGCCCAGATGGACGCCTTCCTCCACGGCTTAGCTGACTATCTCAAGGATGAGCTGGTTTCGTACGAGGTTCCCCCACACTCGACGGGATCATCAAGCTAGCCATTAGAATCTAGCGGTGCAACGGATCATCGTTGATCCGTAATCCGTACGGATCTCTCTTCACGGTTTGGTACGGTTCGGTATGCACATGATCCACGGATTGGTTGATGGAAAAAAACGGCTGTCTAGGGGTGTGACGTTATCGAATTGCGATGATCGAGAAGTGAAATGAGACAATTTGCCGCTATGGGGTGTGTGTACACAGTAGCGTCCCATTTCTTCTTCGAACATACAAGGGGTCAGAAATAACGACAATCATTTGAAGTGCTTCCGGGAAGATATTTCAGATTAAACTCTAATTGTCAGTGAGGTTGTGCAGCTTCCAACACCTGTTAAGGCTCAACTGGCCAACCCTAAATCTGTTCCCCTATAATGAGCCTAAATGACTATCAAGCCTGTTGCCAATAATGGTTATGAAGTGATAGAGAAGAGCTGAAAGACGTAACTACGGTACAATGTTAAATTGAAAGAATGCTAATAGCCTAAAGTAAAGAATTACAAAAAAACCTTGTACAAACACCATCTCTCATCGTAGCGTTTCAGCTGATTTTTAAACTCTTGCACCCTGGACTTGCATTCGGAGGATTACCTCGCCCTGCTTTCACCATACCTTCTACAAACCTGTTCCCATTTACGTTTCCCAATTAGCAACTTGGTGTTAATTCGCTCAGACGTGAAAATCAGTTGGTAGAATTACTGTCCCGCTCCCCTCATCCTGCATTGTTCATTGCAATTATCAAGCAGTTTCCCATCCACGTTAATTGTGACATAAAACGGCAATGTCTTTAGAAGCTTCTGAATTCATGTAGCTCACAAAATGACATATATATATATATATATATATATATTTTTTTTTTTTTTCTGTGTCCTGCTTGATACACCTAGGAAAAATTTCTATTTGCCTAAATGCGGTTTTGCCGACTGAGATCCGAGCGTTAAGTTTGCTTACGTAAAAATAAAACTGTCTACAGCCAGTGACATTACCATAATTCAGGTTAACCCTCAACCTGTTTCTAATTTAGAATGGGACAGTTAGTTGAATTAAATAACTGAGCACGCAAGCTACAGATAAGATACTTTACCAATTACCATTTATGATTAAGACATAAAGCTTTGCGTCAGTGAAGGGCTACAATGAGATCGCATAAACGGCAATTAACGGTATTTTCTTCATTCTACATTTTAGTACAATATTAAGTAGCAAATGCTGCTGAAGATGTTGTTAAATGAGGTTTAGATTTCGTTTATGATTAACTGGATAATTGCTGTTCATACAATCTCATATTGTAGCCTCCGTTCAACTTTCCCGGAAGCCGGACTATAAAAACCCCAAAAATGATTTTGACAACATGAAAGTTTGATGCATAGCTTGCATTTGAATTGATTTTAAATGCATGTCGTGAGGTAAACTTTCACAATGCACTAATAACCAATTTACTAAATTATTCAATTACCAACGCTTTGACGCAAGAGCGTTAGTAGGCTAATTTAAAAGCCTACATTATTATCCCTTTGTGGCATAGTGTGCTGCTGCGCTTCCCTGCAAAAGTAGCCTATTCTTTTGGAAACATTTTGATGAAGTGTAATCTTAAAATAAATTAGGTTGCACTGCTGGAAAAAAATGCTTGAATCGCATTAATGAAAATCTGTGCTGTTCAATGGCTCTAAGTTCATAAATGCGACAAAAATAGACCTTCTTAATAGGGCTATCTACAGATTTGAATAAATTAAGCAGATTTACCGTTTGATTGCTAATCGTGCAAAATAAATGGGAACAGGACGAGAATAATTTGATAAAAGGAGATGATTCTGCAGACCTTAGCTAAATTCGGTTCAATATGGCGCCAATAAATACTCCTTTAGCCTAATTCAGTTTTTTTCCCGGAAGCATTCACATGACCGCTGATGTTTGGCACTTTCAGCAGCTGTTCGTATTGGGTTAATTAAAGGAAGCGATAAAGCTTGCATGTTCGCCCCATGCCAGCAAGTGATCTTACTACACTTTAAAATAATCAAGACGTGATATCGTCATACCCCGAAGGTTGTACGTGTTCACGTGAAGGGCGCGTGGTCTTTTGTTTTGTGTTGATCCGATCCGTGACTCGAATCCGTGATCCGATCCGAACCGTGAGTTTCTTGATCCGTTGCACCTCTAGAATTAACCTCTGCATCCAGGCTCGAAGGCAGGAGAGACGTCAGGGGGCTCTCCTCTGCCAGAAGCCAGGCCACTCCAGAGCGGATCCCACCTGATTGTCCACCTCGCCTTGTCCACAGATGCAGGAGTCTGAACCCATGCAGCTGGGCCGCAACCCTCTCACCCCAGAAGAACGGGAGTGTCGGCGCCATCTGAACCTGTGCCTGTACTGTGGAAACGAGGGTCACTTCATGTCAGCCTGCCCGGTAAAAGTTTGTATCTTGAATATGAGTTGTTTTGTTCGTCAAATGGGGAACGAACAAAGACATGGGCATCTGCATGGGTATTTTAGTGATTATTGTGCATTTATAATTCAGCAGCATTGCCGTCTCACTCAAATGTGAAATAGGCAGTGATGTGTACGCCATATAATCTAAAATAAGTATAGGCTGCCTACTACCTGTGCAGAATTTATAGTAGTGGTGACTTATTTAAACAATGTTGGGGAAGCACTTTTACAGTGGCGAGGACAGTGGGGCAGTGATAGTGCTTGTGGAGAAGTACCATTTGAGGTGTTGAGAGTGGTGGTGCTTGTGGACAGTGCTTGTGGACAGGGGGTGGCGTGGGGCATGGAATTAAAATAGATGTTTATTTTGAAAAAGAATTTTCTCAACTGAACTAGGGCTGAGCCGGTTTCTTTTTTTTGGAGACCACCTCGCCAGCCTTGGAGAAGATGCGCTTACATGGCACGGAGGAAGCTGGGATGCACAATAAATTGCGTGCCAGCACATGCAAGTGTGGGTAAACATGTTTGTTCTTAGCCCAGTACTGCGGAAAAGTGTAAATTGTGAATAAAATCAAAACGCAATGACTTTCAAAGCACACCAGCCAGCATTTTATTTACAATAGAACGAAGATAACATAGCAAATGTTGAAACTGAGAAATTTTGCAATTTTCTCCACAAAATGAGCTAATTTCAAATTTGATGGCTGCTACAGGTCTCAAAAAAGTTGGGACAGGGTCCTGTTTACCACGGTGTAGCATCCCCTCCTCTTTGTAACACAGAGTGGAGGTGTCTGGACATTGAGGAGACAAATTTCTTGAGTTCAGCCATTGGAATTTGATCCCACTCTTGTTTAATACAGGCTTCCAGCTGCTGAAGAGTTTTGGGTCACTCATTTGGGTCATTTACGCAGTAATCTGAAGTTAAGAGTGTTTGACGAATCTGACGTGGCACACTCTTACAAGTCCACTCAAAAAAATTAAGAGAAAGCTACGACAAGAATATGAAAATGTAGTTGCATGAGGCCCATTGTTTGATTGTTAATTGGGCGATCTTAAATTGGAACATGCTGAGAGTAATAATACGTTAAAAGGTAAGGGGTTTGACTGCATGCCACTGAAAATCCTTTAATTCCAGCATTATCTCTTGGGGGGAGTTTGGGTTGAAGGGACTAAATTAAACTTAAAATGAAATGCGATGATTTGAAAATGATCTTTGACATGTATTACGTAGATGACAATTCAAGAACAAATTATTTAATGCTTTATCCTTTAAATTTTATTGATTTTTCAAAATAAAAAGTTATTTCAAGTTGATTTCAAAAGAATTTGAGACAGAAAAGTATTTAGCCCACCACTTTGTAATGCTGTCATTCTTTTCCACAACACATTAGCTCCTTCAAATCACACCATTATTCAACTTCTTAACCTTATTACTAATCTGCCCTAATACTTTTTTGGGAACTGTTGCAGGCCTGAATAGCAGGACTGGATGTATATTTACAAATAAGATACATTTTATTTGACAAAACATTGAATACCTTGTGTTCATACAGCCTGCAATTAATACAAGTCAAAGTAAATTTAGAAATCACTGTTTGCAGTTTTTTTATGCATTTTCCATGGAGTCCAAACTTTTTCGAAGTTGTGTGTTGAGATAATAGACAATTTAAGTCAATTCCACTGCACTAATTGTTTAATCTTTACAA